AAGAAGGGAGGGAGGGAAAGAAAGGAAGGAAGGAAAAAGAAAGAAAGAAAGAAAGAAAGAAAGAAAGAAAGAAAGAAAAGGGAGGGAGGGAAGGAAGGAAGGAAGGAAGGAAGGAAGGAAGGAAGGAAGGAAGGAAAAGAAAGATTGATTCTTGGGCCCAGACCTGCAGAATGTGCAGGATGGGTGGGAAGATGAGAAGAGAGCATGCAGGCTGGCAGAACAGAGTAAACTGAGATTCCGGCAGGGATGAGCATGGGAGAGGGTAAAGAAACACCCAGGTGGCCCAGGAGGGCTCAGGAGTACCCACCTCCCAGGGCCAGCTGCCCTCTGGTTGTTGGATGCAGCAGCCCTCTGAAGATGGGGCACAGATATAAACACTTCCACCCTTGGAACTGCTCCCAAACCCAGGACCGTATGTCCCCATTTGCCTCCATTTGCCCCATATAGTCCCAGTTTACTCCTGATGTTCCAGCATCCCTTCAGGTTAGTGTCCCTTTTCAAAAGCATACTGGTAGAGATGATCAATTATACGGCCACCTTACTCAAAGCCTACCCTATGTAGCCTGACATTGTAGATTACTCTGCCTCCCTACCAACCAACTCCAAATCCCATTTTCCTCTCTTTGGTAGAAGGGCACTTAGAGACTGAGTTACACATACTGACTTAATGTCCCACTCCGTTATTGGTAGCATAAGCTGCGTCTAGTGTCTTTCTGATGAAAAAATCCCCAATTAAAAAAAATTTTGACCTGGCTTAATGAGTGGCTTTAACGACCAAATCCAATGGGCTGCATATGTGACATGATAAAGCAGACACATACAGTGTTAAACAGAGTCCAGAAATTGCATATTCCAAATCTCTAAGTGGCTTGTATTCCACTAGAAACCAACTAAAAATGAGAGGAAAATGTGGTATTTCAAAGAAATGCAAATACTACCTAGCTAGGCACTCAGAAGGCTGTTAGGTACAAACAAATGCTCTTAAGTAATTAAAGTCTACAGTGTTAGACAAGTGCCTCAATAAACACACCTTCTACCACCTTTTACATGGAAATGCGAATGCTTATTTACATTTACTTTCAGATTTAAGGATGAACAGATGTCTTGAGGCCCTTCTGAGAATGAAAATGGCTTATATAAATCCTTCAAATCAAAACATTTTAGGCCATCACAAACTTCCTATTTAATTCTATTGCCAATTCAAAATATCGATGTGGTTTTACTTCAGGTTTATGTAAAGCGGAGACTGAAGGCCACTGGTCCTACCTGATGCATTTTCAATACTCAGGTTGCTTTTACTGCTGTAGCAACTTTGTAGGAACTATATTAAAGGGTTTTCTGCAGAACCGAGGTTTACTGAATGGAAAGGATTCCTTTAATGAGGTATTTGGAAGTTAAAAAATACTTTCAGAAAATTTGGTATGATATCAGAATTACTTCATCACATTTGAATTATGTTTAAATGGGAAGCTGAAGCTATAGCATATGTGGTAATGTTTACTTGAAGGTTTCTTTTCATTTATTTAAACTTAGCAACTAGTTTAAATACTAGACCATATTTGCAAACTAACCTTTTTGTCGTTGGAGCTGTTTGGTAGATTTGGTGAGGTGAGCTTTGAGTTCCTACTATGTGCAAGACCCTGTGATAGCTACTAAATGAGGATAAAATACCATTTTTAAAAAAATTTTTATTTGTATTACTTTTTTGAGACAGGGTCTCGCTCTGTCACTCAGGCTAGAGTGCAGTGGCGTCATCACGGCTTACTGCAGCCTTGACATCCCAAGCCTCAAGAGATTCTCCTACCTCAGCCTCCCGAGTAGCTGGGACCACAGGTGTGCATCACCATGTCCAGTTAATTTTTACAATGTTTGTAGAGACGAAGTCTCACCATCTTTCCCAGGCTGGTCTCAGACTCTGGGGCTCAAGCCAGCCTCCTATCTCAGCTTCTTTTTTTGTTTGTTTGTTTGTTTTTTGTTTGTTTGTTTTTTGAGACGGAGTCTCGCTCTGTCGCCCAGGCTGGAGTGCAGTGGCGCGATCTCGGCTCACTGCAAGCTCCGCCTCCTGGGTTTACGCCATTCTCCTGCCTCAGCCTCCTGAGTAGCTGGGACTACAGGAGCCCGCCACCGCGCCCGGCTAATTTTTTTGTATTTTTAGTAGAGACGGGGTTTCACCGTGGTCTCAATCTCCTGACCTTGTGATCCGCCCGCCTCGGCCTCCCAAAGTGCTGGGATTACAGGCGTGAGCCACCGCGCCCGGCCTCAGCTTCTTGAATAGCTGGGATCACATGTGTGTGTCACCATGCCCAGCTAATTTTTTTTTTTTTTTTGTAGATATGAGGTGTTACTACGTTGCCCGGGATAAGATGCCTTTTTTTTTTTTTTTTTTTTTTTTTTGAGAGTCTCCTCTCACTCTGTCACCCAGGCTGAAGTGCAGTGGCACAATCTTGGCTCGCTGCAACCTCTGCTTCCCGAGTTCAAGTGATTCTTGTGCCTTAGCCTCCTGAGTAGCTGGGACTACAGGCACATGCCACCATGCCCAGATACTTTTTTTGTATTTTTAGTAGAGACAGAGTTTCGCCATGTTGGCCAGACAGGTCTCGAACTCCTGGCCTCAAGTGATCCACCCACCTTAATACCATTTTAAAAGGACTCACAGAAGTGGCCATTGAGATAGTCCTTAAAAGATCACAGGGTTTTAACAGGAAGAAAAATGCGGTAGGGGGTGAGAAGAGTGAAAAGAATTTCAGGCATAAAGAACAGTTGAAGTAACGGTTCATGGGAAGACAGTGTGAGAGGTGCAGAAACAAGGTGAGCATTTGTTGGGTTGGATGATGAGCGAGATTAGGTTACAGGAGATACTAGAGTTGATTCATGGTGTATAGCAAGTTTGCATCTTGTTTTGAAAGTCTCTGGGCAAGCCGGTGGCATGATTAAATCTCTGCTTGTAGATCTGAACTGGAATTGGGAAAAGTTAGAGGCAAACACAGGAGTATTTTGCAATTGTTCAAATAAAGTAATAATACGGAGGCTGGGCGAGGTGGTTCATGCCTGTAATTCCAGTGCTTTGAGAGGCCAAGGCAAGAGGATCACTAGAGGCCAGGAGTTCGAGACCAGCCTGGGCGACAGTGTGAGATCCTACACAGTGTGAGTTTCTACACACACACACAAAAAAAGAGAAGTATTTTTGAGATGGGGTCTCATGCTGTTGCCCAGGCTGGAGTGCAGTGGTGTGATCATGCATGGCTCACTGCAGCCTCAACCTCCCAGGCTCAAGCAGTCCTCCCACCTCAGCCCCCCAAGTAGCTGGCACCACAGGCACGCACCACCACACCCAGCCAGTTTTTTTTTTTTTTTTTAATTTTGTAGAGACATGGTCTCCCTAGGTTGCCCAGGCTGAGTCTTGAACTCTTGAGCTCAGGCAATCCTCCCACCTTGGCCTCCTAAAGTGCTGGGATTACAGGGGTAAGCCACCATGCCCGGCCAGAATTGTTTTTTAGTTACCCAGGTGTGGTGGAGTGTACCTGTAGTTCTAGCTACTTGGGAGGCTGAGGGAGGAGTATTGCTTGAGCCCAGGAGTTCGAGATTACAGTGAGCTATCATGGTACCACTGCACTCCAGCCTGGGTGACAGAATGAGACCCTGTCTCTAAAGTAAATAAATAAATAACGTGGTTGCAAGCTAGGATAGCAGTAGGAAGAAGACAGAGAAGGGATGAATTTTTTAAAATCATTCAAATCCCTAAGACTTGGCAGCTCTTTGTATGTGAAGAGCTGCAGGGAGGGGGCGGTCCAATAACTCCAAGGCTTTGAGCCTGGACAGTGGGGAGATGCTGGAACCATCAGGATAAACCCAGGCCATAGATGCAGGTTCAGGGTGGCCTGAAATGTGCTTGGTCAGTCCTGGACATCCTGAGCCTGAGGTACAGGGGGATAACCATGGGGAGAAGTGCGAACACGTCTGTGTAACCCACAAAATGTTCATGATGTTAGGTAACCATTTGTCAAATGAACACAGGAAGAAGTGAGGAAGGAAGGGAAAAAGAAGGAAAAGGGAGGCGCTTCCCAGTAGGCAGTTGGATATGCAGACCTGTGCCTCAGGAGAGAAGCGTGTGTGGGGGCCACAAAGAGGGGGTGAGTGGGTGAGTGAATGACACAGAGCAGAGGCTGAAGTAGGAGGTGTCAGGCACAGGCACATCAGGGGCCAAGAGGAAGACAAAAAGTCAGAACAGAAACAGGGATTCAGAACCAAGAACCAAGGAGTGGCAGAATTCTGAAATCTAAGAAGGCAGCCATCTCCAAATAAAAAGGGTCAGAGGTCAAAACACAGAAAAAGTCACTAGAGTTGGCACCTTGGAGTTCATTACTGAGCACTAATGATGGGCTGTGTTTGATGCTCAGAGCTTTACCTGCCTTTCACTTCACATCCACCCTGTGAGGTAGGCACTGCTGTTAAACTGTGCTAGGAGGCTTAGATCTGTTCACTGACTTCCCCAAAGTCACGCTTCCAGGAAGCGGAGGGCAGAAATCCTAAGCCAGTTAGGTGTCACCCCAAAACCTGTAACCCTCACACACTTGGCTGTGTGCTTCAATACGGTGCTGGGGGTAGAAGCCAGATCTCAGGGGCTAGAAAAGCGAACGGGATGGAAACTCACATTTAATCTATGTTTGCTGTGGGCCCAGAACCGAGCTCAGTGCTATATGTGAACGTAAACAACGGATAGTGAAAATGGGGAGTGGGGGGGTGACAGCTGGGAGAAGCAAAATGGTGGCTTTTTCAAGAAGGGGCAGGAGGGACCCTGTCATTCTGGGTCCTCTGCTAGATCATGGAAATCATTTCATCATACAGAAACCTGCATTAAAATGATCTTCTTTAAACTAGGATTTTACCACTATAACAGAATGTAGTAACTTGCTATCCCCTTTCTTAATACAGATGAACAGAGCTACTTCCTGTTTTTGATATATGGGTATTAAGTATTCAGGCATTAGAATGGTACATACTTTTTTGAGTTTCTTGCTTTTTTCTGTTGAGAGTATGATATTTCCTTGCAAAATGATATTAAGCTCTGCATCATGGGAAACAAAAGGAAAATAGGCCATGAGAACATTTGAGCTAGCAAACAGAATAAACGTCAATCATCAGGGTGAATTCTCTCAATCAGAGGACATTTTTGCAAGGGGACGAAAATTCACATGGCCCTTTTGATGGAAAAGAACATTTCTTCTGAGCTGCAGCAGCCTTCGTGAAACAGACTTAGGCCTTCCTCTGGGAATAAGGCCTGTCATATTTGCATGCCTCCGAGAGAAATACACAAGCTGGCTGCTCATCTGGGTGGCTGTTTGCAGTCTAGTCATTGTCCCTTTGAACCAGCTGTAAGCCCTATGCATTCCTGAATGCCAAGATAGGAAGGGAGGATTTTCTCCTTCTGGATCCAAAAAGGCACCCAGGGAAGGCAAGGCCAGACCTGTGCTAAAAGCCTTTAAAATCGGGGGAACTGCTAGGGACAGAAAACGATGTTATTAATTAGCCTGCAAAGAAGCATTTTGATAAACCTGAAGGAATGGTGGAGTTACACATCCATTTTAAACGAGGTCTCTGAGTCAAAAATATTTGGAAAGTTTGGGCTGGGCGCAGTGGCTCAAGCCTGTAATCCCAGAACTTTGGGAGGCTGAGGCGGGCGGATCACGAGATCAGGAGATCGAGACCATCCTGGCTAACACGGTGAAACCTGGTCTATACTAAAAACACAAAAAATTAGCCGGGCGTGGTGGGCGCCTGTAGTCCCAGGTACTCAGGAGGCTGAGGCAGGAGAATGGTATGAACCCTGGAGGCGGAGCTTGCAGTGAGCCAAGATCATGCCACTGCACTCCAGCCTGGAAGACAGACTCTGTCTCAAAAAAAAAAAAAAAAAAAATTGGAAAGTTTGAAAGCAGTTAGATAATTAAAGTTATGTCTGCCCACCGACAAGACAGTCAATGAGTGAAAATGAGAAAAATCAAACCCACTGATTGTTTGGATGACCTCGTGCTCAGCCTCAGGTCTAGGGCTCCCTGCATCTCCACCCCCACTACAAGCCCATTCCAGGACTAGGTGTTTCCATGAAAGGAGAAGGCTGAGTCCATAGGATGCCCCACTCCAGTTCATTACAACTCCTCCACTCTAATGGTACCAGTGGCTATGAGACTTTTCCAATGAACAAATTCAAATATCTAGTTCAAACCTAACTTGGCGAACTAGGTTTGCTGCGTGTGGCAACCACAGAATTGCATTACAAAGGTAGGACTGAATCAGCACTTCCACCTCGACCTGATGGCCCGTAGTTGGCTTAGATCAGGGAGGTACAATCTAAAGCAGTGGCAAACCTTACAAACGGAAGGACCAATTCTCTCCTAGCCCTAGCATCAACGCAATTCTGTGGAGGGCTACATGCTGGGACCCAGGATAGCGGGGACTGAGACCACAACAGCTTGGTTTTATAGCTTTAACCTGAAGTCCTGGGCAGTCGTGAGCAGTTTTGAGATCTTAAACCTGGCACTGCTTTTCACCAGAGTGCTGGTTTGGTCTCTTGAGCCCCTCCCCAGGGCAGGAAACAGAAGCAGGCTTGGATCTGGGACAGGACTCTGAACACAATCTACAACCAGGAGAGGCCTCGGGTAGCCACTTTCCCTGAGGTACCCCCATGCTAACTGCCTGCTCAAGGGCCAGTGAAGTTTATCCCTAAACCTTGCCATCCTTTTCAAGTGAGGCCAGCAGTGTTAACCCCTGGGGAAAGCTTTCAGTATCTGTGCCACCTCCAATGTCGGGATAAGGGGATTTTTCAGAGGGCCCCAGGCACTTGCATGGTTTATCCAGTTTTTCATTTGAACTATATGATACTGTCCTTTTTTTTGTAGATCAGACACGATAAAAAAAATGTAATGTGTTCATCCTCACAATAGAAATTATGAGAAAAATGTAGGGTATGGAGTGGAAAGAGCAACATTTGGAGAGCCAGACTGGGTACAAATCTCAGTTCTCTCACTTTCTTTCATCCAACAAACATACACTGAGTTCTGGTATGTGCCTGGAACTGTTCCAGGAGCTGGACACAGAGTGGTGATGAGGACAGATTGGTCCTGCTCTGCATGGCCCATGCTAATGCATGCTTATCTTCTGGGGCTGCTTCTGAGCTCAGTGATGCTGGGCCAGTCACTTGGCCTCTCTGAGCTTCTGCCAAGTGCTGTGAGAGTTAAATGGGACGATGGGCATTTGGCCCAGGTTGCACTGGTGGCCTTCAATAAATGGTAGTTCCTGTTATTTTACTGTGGCTCATAGAGAACTCCTGATAAATATTTGTTGAATGGAAACACCTTGGAATGTACTGTGGGAATCTCCAAGCCATTCCCCTAAGATCCCTGAAGCTAGAAACCACTGCAGGAGAATGGTATACCCGGAGCAGAGGCCACTGTCAGCAAAGCCCAGAGATCCTGGAGACCCCTGTTCCCTACACATTCTGTGACCTGAAAGAGACCAGTTGCTGTCAGTTGTCATATAAATCAGGAGGGCAGTCAGCATAGGAGGGGTTTCAGGGAGGTATAATGTGGTTCATCTTTTTTTTTTTTTTTTTTTTTTTTGATGGAGTCTTGCTGTGTCCACTGGGCTGGAGTACAGTGGTATGATCTTGGCTCACTGCAACCTCCGCCTCCCTGGTTCAAGTGATTCTCCTGCCTCAGCCTCCCAGGTAGCTGGGATTAAAGGTGTGTGCCACCATGACCAGCTAATTTTTGTATTTTTAGTAGAGATGAGGTTTCACCATGTTGGCCAGGCTGGTCTCGAACTCCTGACCTCAGGTGCTCCACCCGCCTTGGCTTCCCAAAGTGCTAGGATTACATGTAGGTGGGAGCCATCACTGTGGTTCATCCTTCTTAATAGGCATAAAATCATTTAATCCCCCCAAAATAATGGTCAGATTTATCAACTGAAGGAAAGCAGAGGTTGAGACCTCAAAGGAGGCCCAAAATTTACCTGTAGGAATTTCTGATTTTAAGGCATCACCACACATTTGGCTCCAGTTAGTAAAAGGGCATGCACGTTGAGCAGTCATTCCCCCAACTTGCCACCCAGTCAAGTCACTGGCATGAATACAGATGTGAAGTTACAGATTCCTTTTACACCCAGGGGCCTATTTTCCAGGCTCTCTGTGCAAAGAGGCCACATGGCTATTTCACGGGTCAGGCTGCACACCGTTTAAACCTGCATAAATCATGCCGGACAAGGTATTAACAAGTGCAAAGTTGCTATCTAGCAGTACAGCTTATGACAGTACCTTCGCTGTCATCACTGTCCTGAGCTCCGTCCAGCTCTCTGGGTCCATTCATCACAGGTGGTGCACAGGGAGGTGAGACCAACAATTGTACTAACTTTTTTTCATACAACTTTCTGGTGGAAGCTGAGGAAGAATTTGGAGAACAAATTAAATTGTTCTTTTTTATATGAGCCTACTGGGTTCAAGGTATTTCATAATTCAGATTTTTATTCTTATCCCTTACATTATTGGTTAATTATGGCTTTTTTTTTTTTTTTTTTTTTTTTTTTTTTTTTTTGAGACAAGGTCTCACTCTGCCTCCCAAGCTGGAGTGCAGTAGCATGATCTCAGCTCACTGAAGCCTCTGCCTCCCAGATTCAAGCGATTCTCCTGCCTCAGCCCCTCCAGCAGCTGGGACCACAGGTGTGCGCCACTACACTCGGCTAATTTTTGTATTTTTAGTAGAGACGGGTTTTGCTATGTTGGCCAGGCTGGTCTTGAACTCCTGACTTCAAGTGATCCACCCGCCTCGGCCTCCCAGTGCTGAGATTGTAGGTATGAGCCACTGCGCCCTGCCCAATTATGGCTTTTTAAACGAGGTAGACTCGCGGCTGTTCAACTCCTTCCTTCGTTTCCACAAACACTTAGGTGATACCTGTATGGATTAACCACAGAGTCAGGCATTGGACACATCTGAGAAGACAGACAAGGCTGTGCATCCTATCTATGGGGAATATAGATAATAAATAAATAGTTAACAAGGTCTACATACTAAAAACAAAACAAAAAAATTGAACCACATAATAAAGAGTAACTGGTTTTTCACTGATGAAAAACACCCAATCCATGGGCTGGGTGTGGTGGCTCACACCTGTAATTCTAGCACTTTGGGAGGCCAAGGCAGGTGGATTACTTGAGGTCAGAAGTTCGAGACAAGCCTGACCAACATGGTGAAATCCTGTCTCTGCAAAATACAAAATCATTAGCTCGATGTGGTGGTGTATGCCTGTAATCCCAGCTGCTTGGGAGGCTAAGGCAGGAGAATCCCTTGAATCTGGGAGGCAGAGGTTGCAGTAAGACAAACACCCAATCCTAATCTGTAAATAGGATTTGGGTATATTTATTGCCTCTTCCCTCTTGTGGTTTTCTGTTTTCTCTATGTTCCTATTTCTATTTTAATGGTTTTATTGCATATGTTTCTTCTATTGTAAGTTGTTTATAAACCATAAATGACAAGTCTCTAATATTTGCTGCATACTGTACGTACGTAGTATTGGGCCAGGTGAAAATCCAAGCTTCTCAAGTTGGTTCTGCAATTTACAGTCACTCAGACACTTCACATCCACCATGGTGATAGAAGTTTGGCCTCTTTTCTGATGGTAGAATCCTTGAAATAGCAAAACATTAAATGCATTAAGACAACCTTACAAATAAGTACTAAAATGTTACCAATCCACGTAAGTGTTTATAACCCTATCTCCCCAACCTCCTAGGTGCACAGGCAATAAAGCAAAAATCAGCACTTTCTACTTCTGCCATAAATCCCTGCCAGGATTAGTTGCCTCCATTGTAAAACTTTGGATGGGTGTCATTTTCCCCAGTGTCTTTAGGGCTCAATTATTTATAACTGTTCTGTTCAATGAATATGAGAAAAATCTTCTGGACAAAATAAACAGATATTTCCATTACTGCTCAGGAACTCTGAATAAAACTCAAGCTCTGAGAAGATAAGAACTTAATTAAATATGAAAGAGCTGAGAGGTTTGTTTTTTTTTTTTTTTTTGAGTTAAATAAAAGTTATTTATCCCTGCCCTCCTTTTGATGACAGGACAGAGAGTACAGAGCATTCAGTTATTGCAAACAGTAGCAGCTTTCACACTTGTAATTTAACTCTGAACATAACAAGATGGTAGTTTTTAATTAACCGCCAGCAGACTTAGTAATTGCTGAATTGGCATTTGAAAAAAAGTCAGCTATTCACTCTCTGGCACACAAATTGATTCATATAGATTTATGCAAATCTTGATATGGCTTTCCAAATCTGCACAACCTCAAGTTCAATCAGTTTTATCCAGTTGATCCTTTGATCTCCCAGAGTTGACCCTTCTACCTACGTAACAAAATCCGCAAAAAGACAGACCCATTTGTCAAACCTTTTAACAGAGATTTTTAAATTTTGGAGTTTATTGTATCACATTTCTATCATGTTTCAAGGCTTAATACTGCAGTGAAAACAACAGCAAGATAATTATTCAGCGTAGGAGGATCTAGACCAATTTTAAATAATGACTTTGCTTTTGTTGGTGATCAGTCAATGTCCAATTAGGAAGAACACTGTATACAAGCTAGAAAAAGTCATGAATTGTTATATATAATAGGGTTGTTCTGGAATACCTAGTTTGACAGTTCTCTACTTTAAAGCAATGCTTTAAAGAGAGTCACATTCTAGCACACATAGTAGGTACCTAGTAAATGTTAGTTTCCTCCTTTTCTGTGTGTTTGGGAAACTGACTTAACACTTTTAGGCCAGTGGGAAACAAACTAATGCTAGGAAGAAAAAGGACAATGCACCTCAGCACCTCAGATTTTTTTTCTTTCCTTTTTACTGGAAGCTAGCTTCAGCAGATTCTGTGACATTTGTTCCTGAGAACAGCTGTCTGTTGTTTCACCAGCTTCCCAAAAATAACCTCCAATAGAGCCCTCATCAATTTCAAGTGACACTAGACAATTGCCTAGAGGGAACACACATATGGAAGAAAAATATTCAAATGGAATCCAACTGGATGATTAATTCACTTACCCCTTCACATGGTTATCTAAAGTCTATGCAATCGAGTTGGTTACTAAAGCTGGGTGAGTTTCACCCTGAGGTTTCCACTAGCAACCAGTCCCTTTTTGCCTGTTAGATATTACGGTAATCATAATACTGACAGTGTGACATCAGTAACCCCCATAGCAACAGATTGATGTGCAAATCAGATGATTAATTGAACCTAAGTTCAAACAGAAGGAGGTACTGGTCGACTTCATAGGCACACTGCCATGATAAAATGTCAAGAGATGCGGAGAAGTTATCATTATGCACAGTAAGTAAGGAGCTGCTACCAAACCAAATGGTGTCAAGAAACCAGGAAGAGAAAGGAGAAATCAAACAAACTCAAGTGTCTAGACCACCCATTAAAAGGCCCATATTAGTAGTTGGGCAATTTGACCATATACTCCAGAGAAAATAGGAAAGTGGAAGAAACCTATATTAATTTGTTAAGGATTATTCATTTAAGAAAACAAGAAATCAGGATGGAGGGCAGATAAATAATAATACATTGCAGAAGTTTGATGGATTTGCCCTTTTCAAAGCATTTTCATATCATCTCATTTCATCCTCTGGACACTTTTATAAGACAGCTGAGACAGATATTATCATCTACATTGCAAAAACCTACTTGGTGTTGCCTTATTTTGTTTAAGGAAAGATCTGTGAGACTATTAACCTGCATCTTTCAAGAAAGACTGCTTAGATTTTAAAGACGTATGCAAGACAAAATGTAACTGTGAGAAAAAGCAATGCCTTCATTAAATTGCAGGGATAGAGGGAATGATCTGAAAGGGGTGAAGAGGACAGGGGAGCCAGGCTGCTTAGAGTCAAATCCCAGTTCTGTCATTTCCCAACTGGGTGACCTCACATCAGGTAAGTTACTAATTTCACTGTGTCTCCTCTTCTTTGTCCATAATGGGGGATAATAAAAATGGTACCTGTTTCAAAGGGCTATGTTATTCAATGAGTTATAATACATATAAAGTACTTGGCACATAGAAAGCATTATATAAATGTTTTCCATTATTCTACTCATGAGCCCTAGCCCCAGAAAGTTCCCACATCCAGTATCTTCCTCAGGAGGCTTCATCTCATTTACACTTGCCCATGGGAGTCTATAGTTGCAGTCCTTTCCAGATTCTGGGAAAGAGCTGAACGTCTTTGGGTGGATGGTTATGAAAGCTATTGAGTCTCCCAGGCTGTGGCTCCGAGGGCTATGGCTCCACAGTTTCTGAATAGAGCATCAGTTTTCAAACAAACATGTAATGCAAACATTTACCAACATCCAAACATTGCATTCACCAAACAAAGACTTTGAAAATTGACACATTTGTTTCCATCAAAGCAAATAAATGATAGGCTTGGGTTATTAGGATGCACAAGCATTTTGTTTACATTTCCCAGAATTGCTTTCAACAAAAAAGCAGCCAGCAGGTGGAACTGCTTCCATTTAAACAGTTTGACTATTGGGATGAAACAGACATTTCTAGAATATTTTCTTGGTTAAATCTCTGGGGCTTAAAACAAGCTAGGTTGAAAAGGATTAAATCAGATGATTTCAATCAACATCTATGGGTTGAACCCTATATCATGTGCAAACTATTCTGCTTGAAATTATTCTCTTGAAAATCCACCAGCATAGTTATGATTCTATTGTCAGCATTATTCCATTTATGAATTCCTGTACTCTGTGCTATCCTGAAATATTTGGTTTAATTGTTTGCAGCACACCATCTCCCTCAGTTTTATCTGTGCAGTCCTGAGCATTAGCTTGTTTTTTGTTTTTCACTCTCCCCATGGCTGCAAAGATATTTTATTCCATTTCTTGAGGGAAGCAAGTTTTAATTGCCAATTGACTACGTATTCAACATGATAAGGTATCTAAACCCTGAGAGCTTCCTCCTTTCATTAAAATGTAGATCCAATTTCTCTTCCCTTAATGCCACATGCTGTTATTAAACTGAAATAACGGAAATAGTAAAAGCCAGATGTCACTTCAGTCTCAGGTTTGACGTGGGGCACAATTTCCTCTCCTCAAATTTAATCTTCGAGTTATTTACTAACCCCATTCTTTGGAAGAATGCACAATTTAAATGTAAATGCAATTTACATAGGGGAGAAGATAGTAGATTTGCAGTTTCAATTGCCAATACCATTTGCAAAAGGAGAAATCAACTAAAGCAAAGATCAGCAGCTGTCAGTCTAAAGCCCGCATCACTCACCATTCTCAGATAACTTTCCTCCTGAAGCCACCTGCCTCTGAGCCTCCACTATGCAGGCAAAAGGAAGTGGAAAGCGGAGGCATTTCCCCAGACATTTCAGGCCGAATTTACTACTGACTGCAGGGAAAAGGGAGAAGTTTGGGTTTCACTGAGCTGATCTGGTTGGCATCATTGTTGAAATCATTAGCTGATCAATTTCTTTCAAAAATTATTTATTGATCATCTCCTGTGGGATAGGGGTTATGCTTGGCCTAAATCAAGGAGAGGTAGAGGAGAATACAAAGATGCAAAAGCTATAGCCCCTCTTTCAAGGAGCTCACAGTTTCCTTAAAGAGAAAAGGAAACAAATAGCTACAAAAAATAAGATAAAGTGTTAAAGGAATGCTGCAGGAGCCCAGAATCTGAACCGTAAGGGTCCAAAGGTACATTGAAGCTGAGACTTCCAGGACGAGCAACAGTTTTCCCTATAAACAAGGGGCTGGGGACAGACATTCTAGGACGTGGTAAGCGAGATGAGAAATGAGCCAGGTTGAATAGGTGGATCCTTCCAATTTGTTAAGGATCTGGTGTGCCATGCTAAGGGCTCTGCCTTCACCTCTGGGCACACGTAGAGGTTTATAAGTAGCTCATGGTATAATTACACCTAGTTTGATATTGAGTGGAGGATGAATTGGTAAGGAACAGTCTGGAGGCTACGGGACTCCTTGGAGGTTACTACAACAGTCTAGAAAAGAGATGATGCCATTTGGGGGAGGACTAGGGAGGAAGATACACGATTCATGAATGATTTAGAAGGCAGAATAGCCACAACAGGATGGCTGATTATGTGTTTCCTCTTCACTTCACTTGCATAGGCACCATCTCAGTACAAATCTTTTGTCTCAGGCATGAGCTTGCTTACATAAGGAACCATATGGAGTTTGGTCTACCCAGCACTGACACTTTAAAAATTATTCTGCACTTGTCTAGTCAACCCTTGATTATCCACACTACTTGAAGGCAGCAGCAATGCAGATAATCCGTAACTCTCTTCTGTTTGGCTTCGGAATTAATTACACCTTTTAGAGCAAATTTGCTTTCCTAATTAATCTTTCCTAGGCTAATATTAAAATTAACTAATATTCTCTGAGCCCACGCCAGCTGGGCAGGGGAAGAGGGGAGGTGGGGAGGGGGAGGACGGGGAAGTGGCTCAGGCTTAAGCTGAGCAGCAGGAGGATGCCAACGCCACATTAAAATTCACCATGGATCATCCACAGAGCTCGTGAGCCGGGTCTAGCTCGTTGAGAGGTGGCTGTATAATTAAAGACTCAAACCCCTTGGGAGTTCAGTTACTGAGCACCTACTACATGC